CTGAACTCCCCTGTATGCACCCTTAATTGTATCTACTGACTTGCAAAGAACCACCTGGAGGAATTCAAAGTTCCTGTACTGTGATTTATGTGGTACCTGCTATCATTTCAACAGCCTGCTATTGCTATTGCTGCCTGGTTAAAAATCAGAATTAAACAAAGCATTTAATTGCATTTTGAACTTTCAGCTTGCTATTTCAGATAGTTTTTTGTTAACGGATGTTTTATTTTGTGTGATTACCTAGGTTTATCTACTAGTCACTTCGCCTGGGCATTTCATTCAGTAGCAGAAGAAGAACTACTGAACATGCTTCCTGCAATGCAGAAAGGAGATCCAACTTGGTCAGAACTCAGAGCCATGGGTGTAGGATGGTGGGTTCGAAATATCCACACATTGCGCAGATGCATAGAGAAGGTAAATGCAGCTGATTGAAGACCAGTTAGTTTAAGCTAAACATAGTTTGTTTAATTAAAAGTTTTGCAGGTATTTTGTGATGTAGGGACCTTAAAGGTAAGGATTTTATGTTGAGGATGATACCAAAGGAGGACATATGGAAAATGCTTCCATATCTTGTCCCTTTCTATAGATCTTTTTTCACTAAGTTGAGATCAGACTGCATCTTCAAATATGTTTAAAACTTGATTGATTTATTTTTTAGAATGCTTGATTCTGCACTGTTTGGTAGGGAATACACAACACAAAGCATGCAAAATTTCATAAATGATCAATCAATATTCGGATACAACCTGTCGAGTAATTTTTAGCACAGAGGCTTCAACATTGCTTCAGCGCTCTTAAATGTCATACATAGTCCATGTTAAGAAATGATGCCTACTGAGGAGGGGTATAGTTTAACTCTGACAGACCTGGCAAAAATGAAGGAAACAGGCTACTGTACATCTTCCATGAAAACAGATTAATGAGGTACCAAATGCTTACAGGATGCATTATTTAGAAGCTGTTGTTTTAATAAATTGTCACAGGGATTTAGAAGCAAGTTAGTCCTCATAAGAAATTGCAATTACTCTTTTTCAAGAGTTAAGGGCTTTTAATTCCTCTCCTTCTGCAATGAGAGAAAACATGCATAAAACATTCCAAAAAGAAGGCTGTGTCACAATTTACATTTTCAGTCTTCCAAGGTTAAATTCAGCATACATTTTCACTGCCCATTATTCAGGTTAAAGGAGCTTTTAGCATCTGTTACTGACTGATTGGGGCTAGGGAGAGCTGCTTATCTGACCCTTCTTTTCTCTGATTTGAGTTGTTGCCCCCTTCTACCAGCTTCACCTAGCTTTTTAGAATTCAGTCAGGGCAATTAGTTCTTGTCATTTCTAGCTAATAGTTATAGCAGCCTAACTGAGACCCACGTCTTCACTAAAGATGCTAAAATTTTGCAACATAAACAGATATCAAATGGATGGGGAGGGTCAGATAGACAGTGCTGTATTGCGCCCTGCTGTTGCATACATTCATTCATTCTACTGCAACACGGGTTTCTGCTGACCGTCTGTATGGGCCAGAAATAAGTAAATTATTTTAGTTTCTTATGTCAAGGGCTGAAAACAGACATCACCTTTGTGCTGCCATAATTTTTTTTTCTGGTGGTGCAAAGCAAAAGAAAACAAATGTTTCTGTTCTTTGTCATACCCCAAGTGCCTGAATTCGTGGCTCTGACAAAAGATGGTATTAATTTATGCTGCTATTTTGTGGTGAATGTCTCTTTTACTTTTTTTAAGACAGGATGTCTTCTTTATAGGAGTCCTATTTGAAGAGTGTGAGTAGACATGTGTTCTTTGTGCTTCAAGGGCCCAATCCTGTGCACACCAGGAATTCCCCTGCAGGGGTATCCCTGGGTGTGCAGGATCAGGTCCTGAATTACCAGCAGGGGGACTGGCCAAGGTTTCCCACTTGCAGAGGTAGGCCCAAGAATCCAGTATCATGGAATTCCCTGGGCATGTATATTGCACTCAAGGTGTGCTCCAAGTCTGTTGATACTGAATTTTGAAATTGTGTTTCTATTAAATGTAAAAACTACTAAGAATAACACTATATTTACTGTTTTACCTTGAAAAAGTGGAAAGGAACTTGTGAAAGTGACACTTTTTTTGCCTCCTTCGATTTATAGGACAAACTGATAATCAACATTGAATGGATTTGCTGAAAATCCATGTAAACTATACAATATTACACAGTAAAAAGGGAAGTTTGAGATGCAAATCCTTAGTATTCAACATGAACCAAACTTTTTTAGAACTTGGAAAATGCACTTGCAGTAAATATGATTGTATAAGAGGATATTATGGGACTTACGTGATATTTTGAGAATCTGACCCATATGATTTATCTGTTTGTTTCTTATGGTTTAGCACTGTTTCTGGCCCAAGTCCTTGCCCACACATTCGGTTTTAAAGACTGGGTATAAACTGATTAATAATCATAAGTAAACAAAACCATTTTTTATCATGAAACAGTGAAATGGATACAAACTTGACTTGATTAGGGACTGTTTTAATTAATCATAAAGAAATAAAAAAAATCCTTTTTTTTGCATTCAAAAATTCAGCAGAAACTTTCTTCACAGGTAGCTAAAGCAGCCTTTCAGAGGAACAACGATCCACTTGATGCAGCCATTTTTTACCTTGCGATGAGAAAGAAGGCTGTGATTTGGGGATTATACAGGTAGGAGATGTTCAAGAAAAGTACTCTTGGTAAAGTCTAAGTTCCATTACGTACAACTGTCTATTGTCCTATCCTTTTTTTAAAAAGATAACGTGTCTGCATCGATACTAAAACAGCAAAAATGTCTCCTTTACTATTATGTTCCGTTGCTGTAGTCACCATAACAAATTGTTCTTTACTACATCTTGACAAAAGTTTAAATTTAGATGCTATTCAAACTCAGTTTTAATTGTTTGAAAAAGTTTCATGGATTTATATTCTATTGTGTTCCTATAATTCAAGAAAATTGTTCTCCAAACTTGATTTTTACAGCAGGATGCATATACCCAAGCATTCTGGTATTTAATAATGTTTGTACATTCTTAAAGTATCAAAATAGATATGTTTAAAGTATATGCAAGACAAATGATTTTTTCCAAAACAGTGACTGTAATGCACATATGTACAGTTAACTTAAATGGTTTTAGCATATATAGTAGTCCAATTTTCTAAAAGTGGATTTCATGTCTCAAGTCTTCAATTAGAAAACATAACTCTAAGGTAGCTCCTCTACACATGCAGGTAAAGGTGAAGTTGGATGTAATACAAGATCCTGCCATACCGTATGTGCCTCCTCCCATGATGTGCATGGCAGGAGGCGCAACTGTGGGATTGCACATTAGAGCCCATTGAGCCTTACTGCCACTACTGGGGGAACCTGATCCTGGGCTCCCCATGCACTGGCAAGAATCAAGTACCCATGGCTGGGAGTCCTCTCAGCTGGGAGACCAGAGCTGCTGGTCCCACAGAGTCTTGCAGCTGTGGTGCACAAGTATTGTGAGTCCTACCCCGTTTCTGATTGGTTGAGGGACCCTGAAAGTCCTACCCCTCATCCAGTCAGAGGCGTGAGGAGGTGCCACCACACACTGCTGCAAAAATGGCACCCAGTGCTGCACTCGGACTGTCAAATTGGGGGGCAGCCTCCCTGAATTCAGTAGGTCCCTAGAGATAGGTACTTTGCACATGTAGATGATCTAAGTTTAGGGTGACCACCTTTTCAAAATGAAAAGGGACACATACCCACCTCTCCTCCCCACCCCCTCCCTGCCATGGCCGGAGTGTGGGGGTGCAAATGTAGGCTGCCTTATGTGGGCTTGGAGCTCCCCATCCTATTGCCTTAGCCCCAGGAGCCCCATGCTGGCCACATGCCCCCTGCCTGCCTGGCAGCTGTGGAAAGCACAACTCTGCATTGCCCACACTGCTGCCAGGAGGGCAGGGGGCACACAGCTGGCACAGGGCTCCCAAGGGAAAGGTAGCAGGGTGGGGAGCCTTGAGGCTGCAGCAAGCAGCCGTGTGTGAAATTTGGGGGGCATGTCCAGTGGTGCAGAGCTACCCCCCCCCAGTGCCCCATGGATGAGCCTCCTGTGGCTCCATCCTACTCCCAGCCTCATGCATCTAGCTGGGCAGCACCCCCAGCCCCTGTAACGTGTAGAGGGGTGCTTGAGTTGGATCTAGCATTCCATCCATGCTGTCTGGAATAAAACATGTCTTCTAGGAAAAAAAAATATTACCATGAAAATTACCTGTACCATAATGCATTTACAAGCTGGCCAAGGCAGCCTTAATTCTGGCATTATGAGTACTTGACTTTTGCAACCTTAATGTCCTTTAAATACAGTTTTCTTTCTTCGAATTGCATGTTAATTTTAAGAGCTCACTTGGGACAAATAAGCTTCTTTATTTTCATTGTCCAAATTTACCATGGTAATTGAAAATGCTGGGCAATTGTGAAATGCACTAATTTAAAAAAAACCGTTGCATTGTCAGAATTATATCCATGGTGCTCTGTTTCTTGATTGGAAAAAAGAATTTTTACTATTACCCGGGAGAGCCAAGCTTTTTAAATGTACTCGGGTATTATACATCAATGGCTGATTTAATTACTAAAATATAACATCTTGCTTAAGAGTGCATGAAAATGCTCTCATTTTGGTGTTTAACAAGAATGTGAAGTACTGGTATTTTCCTTTTGAGAGATGTTGAAGTCAGAGGTGTCATCAGAAGATAATACGTTATTTCTGCAACTTCAGTTTGAGAAATTTGGTTCTGATGAATGCCTAAAAATATGCTTATCTGCAAGTCTAAAATCAGCCAAACGTTTTCAAGTAATTATCAAATTACTAGCCTTGACTTTTCAAGGGATACAGGCAAGGTCTTCACCTGTTCTACTACTTGAAGGCTTAAAAACTTAAGATTCCTTTGCCAAGAATATTCACCACTTCAATTTAAAAAATGGATCTTTGTGTTAGTACTTGATATGCTTCTAAGAAATGTTTAATATCTAAAATCTTACATTCATATTTGGGCAATTGTATAAATTAAATTTTGGGGCAGCTTTTGAATAAATATTAAACTAATAACATGGTAATGTTTTTAATTCTTTTAAAATCTGGCAGGTCCCAAAAAGAAGCTAAGATGACACAGTTTTTTGGAAACAATTTTACTGAAGATAGATGGCGTAAAGCAGCATTAAAGAATGCTTTTTCTTTGCTGGGCAAACAGCGTTTTGAACATTCTGCAGCATTTTTCTTGTTGGCTGGTCATTTAAAAGATGCAGTTGAGGTAACAAAAATAGCTGAGATTTTAGTGCATCACAATAGTGAAATGTCTTATGTCAGTATATTGGGGATTATACTAAGCTAGGTATTTATTGAAACCTGAACTTGTATTTTACTTTTTCATCTCTAATTTTTCCATGTTGTTGAATGTCTTATGTGCAACTTCTCTGATATTTGCACATCAGTTGAAAAATGCATTTAATAATTTTTTCTCAACTATTAGTGTTACAGAGGAAACAGAGGGGTTGTTGAATCTGAAAGTGTGTCCCCCTTGGTAATTGGTGTAACTTGTCTCCCAAGTGTAGAGACCCCTTCACAAGGAAAGCGTTTATCTGGCTCTGATCTCACAGTAGTTAGGAGTAAAACATACTCAGTGTGAGGGTAATGAGGCTCATTTAGTACATCTTATTGCACACAGAAAAAGCTTTATGAAGTGTTATGTGTATACTGACTAACTCAGAGGACCAGTGTTTTATCAGAATTTTACTTCAAACTTAGTAATCACAAGAATTTGTTGCTCAATTTTTTATTTTTATTTTTTTGCATTTTTCTTCCTGCCACATGTACTACATTTGAGATTTTTGTCTCTAAATATTTGTTGAGTACATTTAATAATTCAAACCTGGCCTGTGGTACTGATGACATTTTCTGGTGACATTTTTCTATCAGACTGTTAGCAAACTTAAAACTCAATTTTTGTTCAAACACTATTTTACATCAATGTTTCACTTGTATGTCCTGTCAGTAACTATTTGTTTAAAAGTGGCTTGTTTAACCAAAAGTCTTTTTTTTTTTTCCCCTTAATTTTTCTTTTGTAAATTAGGTCTGCCTTGAAAAGCTGAATGATATTCAGCTGGCTCTTGTAATATCAAGGCTCTATGAATCAGAGTTTGAAGTATCCAGTACTTACAAATCTATACTACAGAAGAGGATTTTGGGAAGTTCATTTCACGGGAAAGAGAGTTCATCCAGCATACACAATGATCCCTTTCTACGAAGTATGGCTTATTGGATTTTGCAAGATTATAGGAGGGCTCTTGATACTCTAATTAAGCAGCCTATTGGAGATGATGGTGGTAAGTATCTAAATATCTTCTATCCAATTCATTTTAATTGGGTATTTGTGTTGTAAATTTAGACCTCATTTAATCCGTTATAAAGATGAATTGTGCAATGCATATTTATTTTTCAGCTTGGTAAAATTGGCCTTAGTAATATTTAAAAATATGTTTGTAACCAGATTATAGTATAACTGTCAAGAATAATTTTCATGAGCAGAAAAGGAATGTGCTCTTAACCAGTTTCCTGTTTAAGAATGTGAACATGCAGAACCAGTGTAAATGAAATAGCTTTGTAATACAAATCCTAAAAATTAATAAAAAGAGTCATCTTCAGCTGTTTTTTCCAACAGCAATCATAAGGTTAAAAATGTAAGTTAATATAGTTTTTTCATCCCAACCCAAGGACCATTATTTTGATTGTTTTAGTTCCTTCTCTTAGCCCCAGATATATAATGCTACTTAGTTTGTGTAGTATTAGTAGTCTTTACTTTGGAAGCATCTACCAGGATGATTCACACATTTGCAAATGTGTTGTGACATAAACACTCTCCCAGAGCCTTTCTGAATACTTCATGCCAGTCTCTGAAGCCATCAAAACTAAATTCATATCTTTTAGTTTTGAAGACTCTTTAAACCTATTGCGAGTCAAGAAAGATCACTTGTAACACCAAGTTTTAAAATGTTTAAGAATTTCTGACATTATGCCCCTGAATGTCCCGTGATCTTGAGTTTTAACTAAAGCTTTTGAAATACTTCATGTCCGTAAACTTCCTATGCAAGTTAGACTCCTAAATACTTACAGTAAATCTAGCCCAGAATTTTTACTTGAAAGGTCACTTTCCTAGTGGCAATTAGTCCATTTTGTAAAGTGTTTCAGGGTTGAATGGCTGTGACGCTGTAAGCCAGGTTTTTACAAACATAAAATATTATTTTTGATCCTTTCTAGTTCATTTCTAAATTGCTGATATAATTCCACCTTAATGAGGAATTGCCTGCCATTTGGCTGTAACTGTTTTTGGACAGGTTCTCATCTGTAATCTCAATATTAAATGATTCTGAGTTTATAATTGGTGTCGATTTTTAAATGCAATCAATTTCTCATTTGACTCTTGATAGGCATCACTTTTTAATGCGGTAGGGCTGTGGTTATAATGCAACAGATTCTACTCCAGCTATCCAAAACACTAAGGCTTCCATTTCTCCTCCTAGTTTTGCTTCTGTAGCATGTGCAGATCAGCCTGTACCTATGCTCCCAGCTTTCCAGTGATGCCTGTTGTTCATTTTTGGAACAATATCTCCCAAAATATTGATTGAATAGTCATTGGTCTCTTGAATTAGTAGTGCTACTTTAGCGTTATACTAAAAACAGTAATTGTTACGCTGATCCATTTTCCTTTCTTTGTGCAGTATTGCTATAAACATGATATATGAACATTATAAATATTATGATTAAATAGCTGTATTATGTTATAAAATTGTGTTACTAAGAAGTTTTGCAATGTACTTTTTTGGAGCAGTCTTCCCAGGAGAGGAACAGCTAAGAAACCATAACATCTACCTTATGATTTCCACTGTCATCCATTTTAGAGCTTAAAAATTCTTGATAAGATGAACTAGAACAGTTAGTCATTTATTTTCATTTTTCAGAAGATGCCACTTTGATAATGACACAGTGAAGGCAATAGCCTTACTTTCTATTGCAAAAAATAAGACTTGGAGTTCTAATTATTGTATCTGAACTGATGTAAAAGTAAGCAAAATTGAGCAATAGTCTCTCCAAACTGAGGGCATACCTCTGCTCCTACTGAGGTTGTTAAAGTTCTACCATTTGTTGTAGTAAAGGAATAGGTAGTGAATGGGATACCGTAGTCATCTAAAAGCAGTCTCTAGAATTAGGTACTTTACGTGCAAAGTGAAGGTGCGAATAGGGAAAAGCACCAAACTTAAAAATATATGGACATCCTATATTACACAGATTATTCAGACTTTTGATTACTGTATTTACTTGACTCCAAGATGACGCTTTCTCCTCCATTGAAGTCGGGAGCGGGGAGCCCCTTGTTTTGGGCTCTAGTAAAAGGTAGTGGGAAGGTGGACAGCTGCTGCAGCTCTGGCCCCAAACCTGGGTTAGGGTTGGAACCACAGCTGCTGGTTTACCCCCCTTACCTTCCTCCCCCTCTCCTCACACACACACACACTTTTTACCCGTATAACACGTTTATAACTTTTTTATGGCTAGAATCCAAGTTTTGGGTTGTCATTCTAAATTCAGAGTCGTCTTGGATTGAGGTATATGTGGTGGGTTTGTATGCATGTTGTAGATGAACATTTTAAACAGAATTTGTCTCCTTGTTGTGTTTTGATCTACAGATGGACATACCTCATCAAGTTGTAACCCTGCAGTGTTTAATTTCTATAACTATCTAAGGACGCACCCACTCCTGTTGAGACGCCATTTTGGCTCTTCTGATGCACCTTCCACACGCATATGCTTAACTGTAGAAAATGGACTAGCAGATAAAATCAATCTAGGGGAAAGAAGGTTATTCTTCACTACAGCATATGCTCATTTAAAAACTGGCTGTCCCATGTTGGCTCTGGAAGTGTTATCAAAGATGCCAAAAGTGGTCAAGAACTCGAAGTCTTTTTGTAGAACTCCTAGCTTAATAGATAGTAGTAAAGACTACTCACCATCTTCTCCAGTAAGATTAGAAGCTCAAGATAGATCTTCTCTTGTTGATGGGTCACAGCCAGTTCTAAATGGTTTAGGATCACCTTCAGATGCTTCATCTGATAAGCAGTCAAGCTCAGCTCTTTCTTTTGATTGGAGCCAGCCAAGTTTAGTATTTCAAGATGAACCTTTGGAACTAAAGTGGGACAGTGACAAAGATGAGGAAAGTGAAGATTCTTCTCTTATAATGAAAGAGCTGAAACCCAGACCCAAGACCAGTGAAAAGTTAGATGAAACTAGTTCCAGCTACACAGGATCTTTCAGTGCACTTGATGAAACTGATATTTTAAGTCCATCTGAAGATGTTATTTCAGCACATTTGAAGTTTAGAGCATGTTTGAAAATTCTCACTGTAGAGCTTCGTACACTGTCAACGGGTTATGAGGTAGATGGTGGGAAGCTGAGGTACCAGCTTTATCATTGGCTTGAAAGGGAAGTGGTAGCTCTTCAAAAAACCTGTGACTACAGTGCTGAAGTAGAGGAGATGAAATCTGGGATTAGTGTGGTAGACGAAATTGCATTAAGTGAAAATACTGAAGAGTCACCTGACCAACAAAAAGCTATGATTCAGAGAGAGAATTTTCTAACAAGACGGCAATGGCTTCTAAAATACCAGTCACTCCTGAGAATGTTCCTTAGTTACTGTATACTTCATGGATCTCATGGTGGAGGATTGGCATCTGTGAGGATGGAATTGATTTTACTTTTACAAGAATCTCAGCAGGTAGGAACTTTCCTTTTGTTGCAGAGGCATTCTAAATACAATTTTAATTTGAGACATGTAATGTTCCTCTTTTGTTTTGATATCATAATATGTACCTGGCTTTTATAAAACCATAACTCAGTTTTACTTGTACATGATTTCAGAATTTATATAAACCCAATTTGAATGATGTAAAAAAAAACCCTTATCCTTAACATTTCAGTTAAAAAAAACACCAAACACTGTTGATCTGCATTTACTACATTGCTGAAATAAGTTTGATTTTTTTTTTTTTTAAGGAACAATCTATACAAATTCCTTCCAGTCCTCTGCGAGAACAGAATTCTATACCACTTCTATTTGCTTGTACAGCCAGTGCCAAAACAGTGGTGGCCAATCCATTACTGCATCTCAGTAACCTGACCCATGATATACTACATGCCATAATAGACCTTGATTCACCACCTCATCCAGATGTCCAGAATAACAAAGTAAATATTTTTATTAAAGTAATCTAGCTTTTTCTGTATTTTCCATTTTGCTGATAACTAATAAATAGGTTCTTTGACAGTCTGGAAACTCTTTAATGAGTGTAAGTCTATATAACATTAAACCTCATTGCAGCTCTTAATTCAGCTCTAACTTTTAATTAAGAGTCAGCAATTCTAATGCTGTTTTTCTTTCTAATACATTTAAATTATACCTCCTGGAAGATGATACTATCAAGATGATTAGTTCTTGAACTTGGCTGTTTGTGTGCATGTTCTGCTATAAATATAATACACTTAACTATTATCAATACTACAAACGAAAATTTCTAGTTAATACTATGTATTTGGTAATAGTGTTTTTGTATTCAGAAAGACTTAGGTCTCTAAATGCTTAAGCAGCATGTGTAAGTTTATACTCTTATGACTGTTATGAGTAGGTATCTATGCCATACTTGCTTGAGTTTGGTATGCTGCTGTATTTTATTGAATAGAGCTCTATAGTCTATACAGATGTTCATTTTGAAGTGTAATCTTTATTATAATTACTTTGTTTTCCAGATATATGTAATGCATACTTTAGCAGCATCACTCTCTGCTTGCATCTATCAGTGCCTTTGTGGTGGCCACAGCTACAGGTAAAGATCTAAGAAAAGCAGATTTTGGAGCACTGCTAAACCAATAGCTCGCTGTACCAGCACTATACTATATAGATTGGTGATTCCCAAAGGCCATGCTATGAGAGTGGTGGAAGTGTGTTGTGAAAAAATGGGTGGGATCAGGGCCCTGGCCATGCTGGCCTTATGCGGTGGGATCAGGGTCTGCAGACCAGATCCAGCTTGGGGACTGGCGAGTGAAGTGTGCCACCAATTTTAATCCAGGAGGTGTGCCCCAGGTATCGGAAGTTTGGGGAACACTGATATAGACTCTATACCTGAAAACTAAGTGTAGAACTGTCGCATTGAGGATTATGTATTGGATCAGGGGTTTCCAAACAGGCATGCGTACCCCCATGCAGGACAACCCTGGGAGGTATGTGGGAGAAATAGTGTAATGGTGGATTTTGTTTTCATTATAATTGGCATTTAAGGGGTTAAAATATAAAACATGCTGGTTGGGTTATGTGGGCAGCTGGTAAATCTGGAAGAGGGTATATACAATAAAAAAAAAGTTTGGGAACCTCTGTATTAGGTTAATTTAAAACACGATTTCAAAGTTGTTTTATGTAAAATAACACTATTTTTTTTCACAGCTCATTACAAGCAAACCAGTTCACTGGAACAGTGTACCAAACACTCTTGCTTACCCAGCGCCATTCATTAAAAGCAGCAAGCTTAGATGAAACCGTAACTCCAAATACACCACCAGCTCAGTGGCCAGGTACCAAAGGTGTCCCCCTCTATCCTCCTCTACCCAGTTCCCATCTATGTACTTTGATCCCTTTTTTCTTTTTGCAGACATCTTACCTACACTTTGAAATACTTACGAATACCATAAAACTATTTCATGTTGCCATACTGCATGTTAGGGCCCCTCTACACAAGCAGGTAAAGGTACGATGGGATCTAATGCATGATCCGTACAATTGCTCCTCCTGCCATTCCAGACATGCATGGCAGGAGATGTGATTGTGGGATGCAGCATCAGATCCTATCATGACTTATAGCTGGTACAGGGGGAGTCCAGGATCACCATCCTGAACTCAGCCTACACCAGGAAGTAGCGAGCACCTGCAACAGAGTCCTACACCTAGCAGGACTCTTGGTCCCGGCAGCACCCCTCAGTTGTCAGGACGCTCGGAGCCCTGACTGTGCATGGTGAATCCCTGTGGCTGGGAGCCCTGTCAGCTGATGGGGCTCCTAGATGCAGGGGGAGACCATACTATGCATGCAAATTAAAGCTGGATGGAAATCAGCTATAAAGTTAGTGAATGTTTTCCAGCTCTGAGTTTATAGCTGGTTAGACCTTTTTATGGTATGGTAGTTCCTTTGCTCATGTAGCCTGTCGAAATGAATTATGTAATGTGTGTAACATATTGAGGGGGCCTTTGTCACTGAATGTTATGTGGCTTTCTGTAACAGATTAAGTAATCTGTTGGAAATACTGATATTTGCTATCATGAAGTGAATTCTACTTCTTTTGCATGCCAAAAATCGTGCGTGTATAACGTAAATATTTATAACGTTGGTAGGTGGGTCTGCAGTTAAGATTGCTTGAAATTGGCCAGTATAAGACCATGTTTTCAGTTGTATGAAGTTTAGCCAAACTTTAATCATTGATACTGAAATGTACAATGTGGGATGTCTACCTTGCACTGAATTTTGATAACTTGTGGGGGTTTTTTTAATAGGTCAGTTATTTCCAAGTATAAGATTTAAGTGCTTTGGTTTCATATGTTAAAAATATTAGCAGTGTAACTGAGAAGTTGTTGTGCCACCATGGTCTGGGGGGACACAGGGACAATAAAGAGCTGTCACATGGCTTTTGCCATTGTGAAAATCTGTTCAACTTTGGCTGACATACGAGTCTCTGAAAAATCAATTTATATATTCAATATTTTTTTGTTAGGCAGCTAAATTCTCGGAAGAATCTATTGGCACTCAGCATGATACAGGAAATGAAAGGGTTTTTCCACTATTAAGTGATTTTTCTGGCGCACAGAGGTCATCATGGCCCTAGGCACAGATTCCTTCATGCTCTCGTTGTTTCCAGGACAGTAGTATGGAGGATGAAGTTGCCTGACAACAGTGCGGTGTAGTGAGGACCAGATTTGACAGCAGCAGAGTGTGTTCGGGAGTCAGATGGGAGTTGATAGGAGCTTGGGTTGGTGGGCTGGTACCAACACAAGGGGTTGGATAGAAGCAGGGGGTACAGAAAGAACATCAAAGGACAGGAAATCTATAACCTAGAACAAGGGTTATCAACTCTTGGGTCAGCTGTTGGGGTTAACAACCCTTGCCTTAAGCACCTCTAGAACAAGGGTTGGTAATTGCCTGAGAGCTTGATCTGGCTTGGGACATCAACTGAAGTGGCCTCAGTGGCTAGGTCACTAATGTGTTGGCAGTGAACCAGCAGCAGGGGATGTGGCAGCTTACCTTCAGACTGAATTGCATTATTTTGGCCCATTCCTGCTAAAATTTTGCTGATTCCTGGCCTAGAGTATTCCTCTCTGAGCTTATACCCATGATACCTCTGATAGCTAAAGAGTGGTGAGGAGCTTTGAAATGAAATGCTTCATTTTCCCAAATCTAGAATAAGATTTAGTCACACACACAATAGTTGGATACTTATCTTGAATGGCAGAGATTTGTGCTTCAGATGTAAAAACCTGAATGTTGCTTGGTTTATCAAGCAACAGTAAATAAGCCCTTATGAGATGAATTTGTTCAAAGTTGGCACCCAAAAGTAATGGGTACTTGACTGTTTTATGCTTAGTCTTCCCTTGCCTTAGTTCCATAGCTGTAAAATGGGAATAATGCCACTTTACCTCAAAGGCAGGGTGAAATTGAATAAATTCATCTTGGTGCAACAGATACTATAGTGAGAGTCAATGAGGTAGTTATTCATTTTATATTCCAGTGCAGGATTTAATAATGTGCATTTCAGCAAGTTCTTGGACTATACTTTCTAAGTAAAGAGAGAGAGAAATATCTATTTCCTAATCCTTCAAAGAATGAGGCAGAAAGCTTGTCCTACTGGGAGCCTGTGGCAGGAAAAAATAGCATGTGGCCATGTTACTATATATTATGTTATAATGGCTTAACACAAGGGACCCAAATTAAGGCTACATTATTAACCTTATTCTGGCATATCCTAATTTGTGTAGTTGGATTTATGACTTAAGTGTTTTAATGATTTTTTTTTTGTTCATGCCTGCATAATGGTTGGAGTAATGGCTGATAAGATGTTTAATACATGAAGCTGCAAAAAATGTCTAAAATACCAAACTTAAACCTCATTCGTTTTTAGAGTTTTTATGCAATTTTTGCTATCTTTTTAATGTCAGTATTTTATTGTATAAATGAGTGGACTTTTTTTTCTGGTAACATTATGTATGTATCGTCTAATAAGCAAAATATTTCCTCCTCTTAATTTTAGGAATTACAGCTTTAATACGGCTTTTGAATTCTGCTGGGGAGGAAGCCCAGCCATCACTCACAGTTTTACTCTGTGAAATTCTAACATCAGTCTATCTTAGTCTGTTCATACATGGCCTAGCAACACATTCCAGTAATGAGTTGTACAGGATTATGGCCCATCCACTCAATGACAAAATGTGGTCTGCTGTCTTTGGAGGTGGAGCTCATATTTCCAGCAGAGGACAGATGCAACTGAGAACAAAAACTGGTTGGTTCACATTTCCTTTGCTTCAAAATCTTTAAAATTTTAAAATTTGACTTGCTTTTGTAAATGTTCTCATTGCATAAAATACCGTGTGTTGGGTAGAATTTAAATATATAACTTTCTCTTAGTCTGTTCTTCAGCATTGTATCCTAAACATAACAAAGTAAATAGTTTTAAAATTAACAGATAATTCTACCATCGAATAAGAGTATGGAAGGGAAGTGAACTGTGGTAAATGCACTCTGTGAAATTGTTAATACTGTACTGTAGAAAGATTTTAAGTTAATTTCAGGTACCAGATTTTCAGTAATGTCAGAGTATAGTAAATAGAACATTGAAAGTAATTTAATTTATAGTTTCCTGATAAAAGCCGTGTATTCCTTTACTGTAAATACAGTGTATGTTTTCTCTTTTTGGCAGGTAGGCACTTCCCTATGCCTAGCCCACACCAGGTAGTAGTGTTCTCCATGGAATGCGTGGGATTTTCCAAATCCCTTGCTGCCTTCAGTACTCATAGTCCTACCAAACCTTCAGGCAAGATATTAGATTTAGTATGAGGCCTCTAAATGCAGCTTGCATATGTGTGACCTTGCATATACAGAAATAAAACCCGCACGGAAATCTTCTGTTTGCAACCCATGGTCTTGAAATTTAGAAATTCATGAACACATCTGTGATTTGTAAGAGCATTTGAATAAACTTGCTATACTTTTTTGAAGACAAACAAAAGTTTCATTTATTTATATATATATATAACACACATTATATATATATATATATATATATATATATTTCATTCGAAATGTTTAATTTGAAATGAATTTAATTTAAATTCATTTTTCATTTCATTTGAAATGTTTTACACACAAAAATGTAAAATTGCTCAGATCATGGTTTGGAATGATCAGAAGTATTTCAAATATTTGTTTATGAAGGCTGCTTGTTTTGCATCATAAATATATACATTATTATACATGTGGATTTCTAAGTGTTTAGATGAGCCATGAAGCAGTATTTTCTCTTTTTAGTACTCAAAATAATTTTCAGTAATTATAGGGAACCCTTTTAGGATGACAGATACATTAACTGTTTTAAGTTACAGGGATTCCAAGTTGTACTGCAGTGCAAAGTGATTTTTTTCAATATGTTTTTAGTGCAGATGTTTTGTGTTATGATCTACTTAGAACACTTATATTTTATAGATGATAAAGAGCTTTAGGATCTCCTTTAATCTTGTTACAGTAAGTGGTTATATATTACATGAAAACTGATTGTGTATGCAAGACATTACATGGATATTTAACCTAAGCAACTTTTAATTAATTTAGAAGTCTAATTAACCAATTGAAATATATGTATGCATGACAAATTTGCACATCTGTTGGGGAGATTGGCTCAGGGTTCTTGGCATGAGGGTTGACGCGTGACCCCAGCTATGATAGTAGCTTCCTCTGTGGCAGGGCTGTCCAAGTTTGAAGTGGCCAGGAGCCAAACTCAGTGTTGGCCACATATTTGCAGGTCACACCAGGGTGAGCCATGGGCCCCCTGGGCTGCACACTCTGGAAGTGCCCCTGCCCCCCACCCCAAGTACTTCTGTACTGCATACACAATGGGTGCCCACCCCCCACTGCACTTCATGCCCACATGGCCTCAGGCTCACTCTGCTCCTTGCACCGCACTGTTGCAGCTGGAGTGATGTGGGGAGTAGCAGCCAGCTTGCCGCCATTTGGTTAGCACTGCTCTGTGCCATATAACCTTTTTTCCAGTTTCCCTCTTCAGAAAAGTTGGTATAATTGATAAAATATGGATATTATTTGTTAATAGTTGCTATATTGTCAGAAGGCCAAGTTTCTGTGAATTTCTAAGTATTTCAAGAACTTGTTACTGTTACTAATATGAAAGTCTGTTACAGATATTTTTATTCATTTTTTTTGTCTTGTTCTAAGTGAGGAATGAGAAACTGGGTTTATTTCCTCCTATTTTTGTTTCTTTTATATAAAGACATTCTTAAGGGTGGCAATTACCAGCATTTTTTTCTACTGCTTGATTTTACCTTGGAAATTCAGGCCTAATATATAACTTGCAAATTTCTTGTTGGGGACTTCAGAATTAAATACTGTGGAAGTCAGAGATGGAAAGTTAAGTGCTTAAGGAAGGAAGGATCTCATGGTTATAGCGTGCCTTATTTTCATTTCTAATGCTTATGGAAATTTTTAAAGAAATGTTACTTGAGCTGTTACTTCAACTGAGGTAAGAATTCGCATATCCTGAAATTCCTGAGAAGGAATGCTCCTGAAAATGCTCCTGAAAATCCAGCAACCCTTGCAAAAAACCTCTCAGGCATTTTGAATAAATAAAAATAGTAAATGGGCCTCATTCCCTTTTTCAAATGGCTTGTATGCTATTGGAATACTGCATGCTTAAATAAGTATAGGAGAGGAGAAGAGAGCGATAGAATACAGAGTCCTGATGAAATGTGAGATAAATTTCAACGACCATATTTCTGTTGATATTGGCCATCTTCTTAACATCCAATGTCAGACACTGATTGGACAACTTCGTTCTATCAGCAGTTACTTGGTTCACCTTTTCTCCTGGGCTTTTAGGCAGTTGTGAAATGTGATCATAGTTGCCAGTAGGCTTAACTAGAATCTCCATTTTTCTTGTCAGGGTCATCAAGTTTTCACTCAATAGGCATATAAAACCAAATGTTTACATGTAAGATATGCTCATGTAAATGTTGTAATGGTGTAGCTGGTCATGAAAATATTTAATGGTGATATAATATTTGGCTGAATTTTTTTTCTGAAATTAATTTGGTCTTCCAACCATGTCAGTATTTTCCTTCCCACATAGCAAGTAAAAAAAACAAAACATTTTTCCTATACTCATGCTACAGTAGTAGAAAGATTAATTTAATATAGTTTATTCCTCTTTGTATTTACATTACTTGTCATCAGACCTCCAGAATAGGTCTGGTTTCCTTTTCGTCCAGATTTCACAAAGACATCCATTTTCCTAGATGATGTATGTTCTGTGAAATAATGGAAATGCCGTTTTTCTCTTAATCAGGGAAGACTTCCTGTTTGATATTCATTCAGATGTTTGTCTGATTTTTAGCAGTTCAGTCTGAATGGGGACACTCCCTAAAATTAAAACTTTAGCACCTTCAGTGATAACTGTGGCATTATTTGTAGTTCTAGTCAAATTTAGCGGTTCTGGTTGGTAACTTTTTTATAAACTTGGTTTCATTCCTTTAGGAAACGATTTTCTTTAAAAATATTCTGTGAACTGGGTTGCTTGAAAGTTTAAATTTAGCGATTACAGAGTTTACAGTTCTCTGTAGATTTGCTTCATTCTGGCTCCCTTCCCCCTTCCCGGGGAATGGTTTATGATACGTTAACTCTTTCAATAGGCAAATTTGCCCTGGGCAGCTCCTCTCCTTCACTCCCCTCCCCTATTCCCTGCTCCCCAGGCCCTTCTCCAGGTTCAGGAACAGAGCAGAGGGCTGGGCAGAGTGCAAGGCATTTTGGGAATTATAGTTCTCTAGTGTGGAAATGGAATTTGCTGCTTCCAGGTGGAAAATTTTTACCCCATTTGCCCCCTTCCCTCCCCCTCCTTTTTTTGTGCTGCCAAAGCCTATGTCCAGAGGATTAAAAAAAAAAGGCTGAATCCAGTGGCAAAAAATGGGGCCAGTTTTCTTCTTCCATCAGCAGCCAACTCCACTGATGCTCTACAAAACTAATTTTCAGAATCCTTTGGGCTGGGTTCCTGCTGCTTGAAGCTGGGAAGCAAACAAGCAAGACAAGGCAGCAAGCAGACAGCAGTGAGGTAGGCTGCAGTGAGTAACCTTAGACTGAGGCCCTTTTTCCTAGCCCCTCAACCTCTTCCCCATTCTTGCTCCCGTCTCCTTAGGTAGTACCCAGGGCACATGCCAGCTCTCCTGCCCCACATTATGTTATGGGGCCTTTCCCTTATAAGGTGAAACATTCTACTAAAATGTCATGACTTATGGAGAGCTGCATTACATAGGCTTTTCAGTTGTGTATTCTTATTTTACAGACACTTTGCCATTTTTTTAAATGACAAAATAATTGTGGGAACAAATCTGTGTAGCTGGGCATTTTACAGCCTGGTAGCTACAGATGCAGCTATCAGATTTATAAATTATCCTCATTAAAATAAATAAACAAAAGAAATTAGCCTTGGGAATATAAACTCCTTTGTTGCTAACTTTGCATGGAAATTCTTGCTGTGTTTAAAACATTTATTTCCAAAAGCTTCTGGTTTCTCTTTAAAATATGGTTTGAAAACTTAACTCTTTTAACTTGATTCTCTGTAACTTGGATATATAGAATAAGTAGTTTCTCCCAAATCATGCCCTGTTGAACAACTTAGAAACCTGCTTTTGTTCTGAACAGTTAGAAATCCATATTAACCCTTCATTTCATTACAGTAACAAATTACAAGCAAAAATTTTCTCAGTCAAAGTTATTGTGGGAACATTTCCGTCACGTTTGTTCAAGGAGTCATTTTGGATTTCAAATTATAGGCAAAAATATTAAGTAAATTGATTATTGCAATGTGTATTCACAGAATAAAGAATGATAATTTTTCTGCTTCAGAAAGTATGATACAGTTGAACAGAATATTACAAATTCTTTTGAAATACTGATAAACTCAAAATATGCTTGTCTTCTGATTTATTTTAGTGAACATATGAAGAACTTTTAAAGTACAGATCTGTGGTCCCAGATACTTGTCCAACTTTTTTTAGATTAAATAAGAACTACTTGGCAACTCAGGGTTCACTTCTGCTTTCAGTTCTCAAAATCTACTTGTCAGGCCTGGAAAATAAGCTTCAAAACTATTCTGGCATTAAAACAAAATCTTTTTTTATTATTATTACTGACTTACAAAATTGTTCTAAAAATATTCAGGATACAGTTGAAAGATTTGAGTCAGTAAAAATAAATAAAGGTAGCTTCACTGTTGTGGAAAGA